ACCAGCTCCTCCATGAATGGGAGCCAACATGGAGCCAGGACCATAGTTCAATGCACTGGAGTAGTATGGAATCAAAATGGCAGTAGGTTGAAGTGCTTGCATGGGCAGTGGCTGGACAGCTACAAGTGCGGTTGTGTGCAGAGGGTAGGTTATGGGGAGAGGTGCATACTGGGACTGGGTGGGTCTTGGATGATGGTATGTAGTCAGTGGGATGGTGCCAATGTAGATTGTTTTGTTGTAGACTATGGTTTGGTAGGGAGTGTTGTTGTTGTTGTTGTATGTTGAGTTGTTGACTGCTGCATTGTTCGTTGATGCCTGCAGGAGACTGTTCGATGACAGACTCACTTTAAACTGCAATTCAAACCAACATTCGCTATTTCATTTTTCATGTCGAGTTACTTTGAAGATTTTAAATTCGCAATATAGTTCGAAAAAAACGTACAACCTCCAATTCATAAGAGATTTCAATCATTTTACATCTATCCAAACTGGAAGGATGGCACTGCGGAACGACAATGACGTCATTCCAGAGGGCGACGTCGTCTGCCATCACAGGGCTGCCATCCTTGTGGACCACTCTCACACGATCAACCAGGCGACGGTTCTTATGCTTGCAATCAACAACCTGGTTGCGTGAATCAATTGACATTCATTCGATTGAATGATACTTATAAAATTATTTTCTTCAATTTAGCAAATGAACATTTTCTGTTATATGCAAAAAATAATCAAGCTAGTAGTGGAAAGGCTGGAACAATTTTTTTTGTAATAAAATCACAATGAAATGAAACAAAAGACTGGTTGATGAAGTACACATGCATACAATACAGACCATTATGAGTGAGACCGATGAATGTGCAACCATCTGCTTGCTATCATTTTGTATGGAGCCTTCTATGAAGATTGAATCCGCTGGGAGAAAGCCTGATTTGTCGACCAGCCAGTCAATGGTCACTGAACCTTTTGAACAACACACACCCAGCTCTTTGCGCTTGCATATCTCAATGTTGTACTGTTTAATGTTCATTTTTCTGGTTACTTGTATGTAAATGTATTTTATTTATAGTACAATTTTTAGTTGTTTGCATGTTTGTTTGTTTGCTTGCTTGTTTGTTTGCTTGCATGTTTGTTTGTTTGTTAGTTTACTTCGTTGTTTGTTTGCATGTTTGGCAGAACTTGTTGATTGTGTTGAGATTTTTCATTATTATAAAAATTTCATTTTCTATAAAATAATACTGTCAACCTGAATTGAATTACTGTAAAATACTTATAAGTATTCCAATAAACTCAAATAAAAAATGGCATCATGGATAGATACTGAAATAAAAGTGAAAAAGTAACAAAGGAGGATGAAACTTGCAGATGCTTCTGGGATAAGGTTGAGATCGAGTCCCGACATGATGCTAATATCTTGTCTCTTTGATGTCATCTTTTCTGACATTTTGAATCCAGAACTTGATTTTTCGATGATTCCAACACAATCATACTTGACCTTTCCATAACGACCTTCAAAGGAGTATGGAAGGTCACATGGCACCTTTAAATCAAATGGAAAGACATGCTCTCCTACAGTCAAAATGGGATCTTTGTCAAGGAATGATCCAGCTGTGATCAATCAAAATTTGTATCTTTTCAGAATTTTTTAAAAGTTTTATCATAAATAAATTCTATTCAAAAATACGCACATAAAACTGTCAATATAAATTTGAAATTTTTAAAATTTTTCGTTCTACCTAGAAAATTTAGAAAAGATAATATTTCAGCTTAAGTCATGTCACATTTTTTTAATAAAATGAACACCTAAAATTTGGCAATGACATATAAAGGGTAATCTTGTAGGTATTTATTAACATAATATCTGCTACTGCACAATTTAATTACCAATACAGAAGTAAGTTAAAATAACATTTGATGAGAATAATATGCTTCTCTAGGCAATGTTCTTTGATGACGTCAGCCTTACTGTCGTCGTCCACGTTGCTGGCATCAGTTACATCAGCATTGCTGCTGTCATGATTCCATGAAATAATGGTCATACCTCTCAGTTCAAAATATATTGCTGTGATGGAAATAATTATTTGTTGTAATTTCATTTTATTGTGTTTTTTAATATTAAGCATTTATAACTGTTCAGTGAATTGGACTGTATCAAAATACTGCAAATTTAAAAAAATGGCCATAATTTAGTGACTAAATCTTATTCTTATTTTATTCTTAACTTAAAAAATTCCAACTTTACTTATAAATTTATTTTTATATACATGGCACATTACACACACCATTGACACTAAATGACTAAACTAAACACTAAACTAACTAAACTAAACTATACAATACACTACTAATACAGTATGGAGTAACCAATCAAATCAACTCAATAACAAATAATACAAAGCTGAGGGTAGGGGTGGTTTGTCTATGCTACAAAGGTTTTGTAATTTTATATTCATCAAAAAAACAAAAAAAATGTTACAAAAAAAAAACAACAAGCAAAGCAAGTGGGATACAAACATTTATATTTTATTTCACTAATCAAATTAACTTCCATGTAGCCAGTTATGTACTCTCCATCTCTGAACACCAAATCGGCTTTATCAAAATGCAGTTCAAATTTTGAAACAGCAGACGACATTTTGCAAGTTAATGTTTATCAAACATTCTACACAAAAACTATTACAAATAGATTTCCTCACTGGACAAGTTAAAACAAAACAAATAATTATAATTTACGTTATCGAAGTCAACTAAAGAAAAATTGGATAAAAGTAAATTCACCTAATCTGTAATCAATTTTGATTTTCGGATTTCAGTATTCAGCATATTCAGTGTTTCAAAGACCAGTCAGTTAAACAGCTGAATATTATTTAGCACCTATAATGCCACATTCGTAAAACTTTTTTGGAGAGTCTTCATGAAGGATGTAAACATATATATAGAATATAACATATATAAAATTTATATTATATATAATATTTATATTATAAATATAACATATATGTATATACTATATATATATATATATATATATATATATATATATATATATATATATATGAATCAAGGGGAGGCCTATTTACTAATATACAACCATTTCTTATGGGTTGAAGCAGTGATATATATGCAAAGAACCTCAATTTTTTCAACTTTTTATTATTTTCTGTAATGTCGATTTAATTTTTAAATTTATACCAAATGAAAGTAATTAATTACCACATTGATAAATAATTGAAAAAATGTAATTTAAAACGTTTTAAAACATTTTAAATAAAAGCAATATTTCGAAATTAGTAAATATACGATCGTTAATTTTGACTCGAACGATAAAAAATCACCCTCCAACTGCCCTACGAAAGTCAGCTCCTTGTTAGACCATTAAGAGTGAGCGAAGGCCGTTATATTTATTCTAGTCATATGGTCGGGCCCAATGGGAGGCCTATTTACCATTATGTAACCCTTTCTTATGGGTTGAAGCAGGGATATGCAAAGAATCTCAATTTTTTCAACTTTTAATTATTTTCGGTAATGTCGATTTTATTTGTTTAAATTTATACCAAATAAAAGTAATTATTTACCATATTGAACAACAATTTTTAAAAAATAAAATTTTAACATTTTAAATAAAAGCAATATTCCGTAATTAGTAAATATACTATCGTAACTTTTGACTCGAACACATGGATATATATATCCATGCTCGAACGATAAAAAATCAACCTCCATCTCCCCTCCAGAAGTAAGCTCCTTGTTCGACCGTTGAAAGTGAGCAAAGGCCGTTATATTTATTCTAGTTATATGTATCAAACAGTATCTTATTGAACAAAATAGTATCATAAAATGAATAAAGATACTTTTTTTTAAATTTAAAAAATTCTCAATTTGATTTCATTGCGATATCGATGATGATGATAATTGTGACCTGACTAATTAAAAAAACATCAAATAAAATTTATAAAATAGGATGGGTATATCGTTGAGAAATCGTTGGGGGAAATGACGTCATATTAACAGTAGTTATTTTACTAGATGGCAGTTAATCAGCCTGTATAAAGGTTGTATTCAATTCTTATCAAATAAATTTGACCAAATATCATACGCAGGCAAAACTAAATAAAGAAATATATATATATATATCTATATATATATATATATATATACATATATATATACATATATATACGTAGTTATAATACATTTATGATGCTGTATTTACACATTCAAATTGTACAATTGTGTTATGTGTAAGTTCAAATTATTTTGAATTCTCTCGGAAAAATTTAATTTTTTTACTATATATATATGTATATGTTACTTTTATCAACAATTATTAAAAAATTTTCAATTTGATTTCACCGCGATATCGATGATGATTTTTACCTGACTGATTAAAAAGCATCAATGAAAATTTTTAAAATAGGATGGAAAATTTGTTATATCGGGATATTCGTATATAAAGCGAGCAAAAGTTTAATATAAAAGCGGTTATAAATCTACGCATATTGGCTCAGCTTGGCTTGGTTCGTCTTGAAATTGGATGTTAAGCTAGGTGTGGTCTCAAACAATTTGGAATTCGCTCAAAAAAATTTGAACTGCGTGCGCACATATGTAGCACTGATTACTGTTGCTTCAATAATGAATTTATATACTATATATATAAAGCGAGCAAAATTTTAATATAAAAGCGCTTATAAATCTACGCATATTAGCTCAGCTTGGCTTGGCTTGGAATTGGATATTAAGCAAGGTGTGGTCTCAAACTATTTTGAATTATCCCCGAAAAATTTGAACTGCGTGCCTACATATGTAGCATTGATTACTGCTGCTTTTATAATAAATTTATATATATATATATATATATTTACAATATTTTTAAATTCTACCGAATGTTTGGCGTTAATATGTTTGTAGTGAACTACAAACATATAAATATATATATATAATATAATATATATATATTAATTTTAATATATATATATATGTATATATATATATATATATATATATATTAACTAGAATCCATGTATACAAATAATTAATAAGATTATATGTTTTTATAAAAAGCAATATAGCAGATTCAACCAGCCAATCAGAAAGTTTCGAAGGCGTTCGATCGTTGACGTCAATTTAGTACGGTTAGCATTGTTGTTAAGACTGTATACTACATACATTAAAAAAGTTTATTACTGATGTGAATGATTGAAATGATAAGAATGTATTGTTGAAACTAGTATAAATAGGAGCTGAGACAGCATGAAAATCAGATCAGGCATTCTGCCTCGCTTAAGGCTTGAAGCGGTCTGCCTGATCTAATTTATTTTTTTTTTATTTTATTTATTTTATTTGATATAGAGTGATATAAATTTATATAGAGTTGCGCTGCTATATATGTTTGATTGTGGTTTGTATGTTTGTATTTTTTTTATTTTAGGTGGGTTCTTTAGCGGTTGCTCATACATACATACATACATACATACATTATGTTTGTTTTTTGTGGTAGTATGTTATGTTCTTTTTGCTCCTTTTTCTCTTTCTTCATGAGTTATGAGTTAAGTTAATGAGACATAGGTAAGTGAGATTAAAAATTAATTTGTTATATAGGTTGGCTAGGG